AAATAAAATAAAAAATAAAAATAAATAAATAAATAAATAAAAATAAGTGAAATCGAAAAATTTGTATTTACAGCAGAAAACTAACACTTTTCTCAGAAACTCACAGATCAGAAAAAAAGAACAGGGTATAAATAATGCAATTAGAAAGTTTAATAGAATAAATATATTGTTAACTAAAATATAGAGAATATATATTCTATTTAAACAAACATGTAACAGTCACAAATTGATTGTGTTCTAGCCAGCTGCCAGTTTTATAATCCAAAAGCTGAGAATGATTTTTACATATTTTAATGGTTGCATTTTAAATTATTTTCTAGATACCTACATAACAGCCTCACAACTTCATGTCTTGCCTGAAAAAAACTAAAATATTTACTATGCAGTACTCTCAGAAAAAGTTTTCTTACTGCTTTAGGTCACAAAGAAAATAGCAACATACTTCAAATTTATATCAGATAATTCTTTATTATTAAATAACTTGTTAAGATTAGAAATCAATTAAAAATGAAAGTTCTATGTACCACATAATTTTCATTTTTAAAAAAATTCTATAAATTTAAATTATCATTCAAGACAATTGGAATTATTAATGTTTCAGTAATCATTATGCATCAAAGAAAACAAATTTAACAATCTAGTTTAGATTTAGGAGCTCAAAGACAGAAATTATTTTATCAAAGCACAAGAGCCTGAATACTACAAACATAATCACCAGCTGAATCCCACTCCAAATAACTTTGGACATTAACCAAATGGTAGTAACTATTAAACCTCAAAACCTCAACCAAGACGAAAAGTGCTTAGCTCATATTAGGTTATTTTAAGAAAAAGCTTCTTTAAGTAGTAGAGGCAAAAAAAAAATCATTAAATGGACAAAAAACACACTTAAATAATCACATGCATGCAATGCTAATATTTCATGGTACATTTACTGAGGAGCTAACTTTTATGGACCAGTGCTGGGCATTCATCTAATATTATAATTGTTACACATATTAAGTTGCTGGAAAACCCTGTAACAAACTCCATCTTACCCATGTATTTATTTCATGAGTTTGCAAAAACTGGGATTTTCCTATGAGTTCCAGAGCAGCTGCAATGGACATGGATACTTGAAATAACTAACAAAACTGTTTGGCAGCATTAACCAATCCTTGTTGACAAGCATCATCAATGATGTCAACAAAGCTGCCTGTGTTTCAGATATGCTACAACACAATCACAAAAGGCATCCTAGGAAAGGGAGTAGAGGAGAGGTTGATTTTTTTTCTTTTTCTTTTTAAAAGGCGTTTTGTTAATACAAAGGGATGTGGGTGAGCAGTCACATCATTTCACACAGGCTAGGATGGGCACAGAACATAATTTTTGAGTAATGCTGTAGTTCATTTATGGGATTTAAAATCTAATGATTCAAATTATATTTGAGAGGATTTTAAAATCAGTCTTTTAAAGCCTGATTTTCAAAAAGTACTTCAAAGACAAAGTGATACTAGTAAATGATTGGGACAAAAAACATTTCAAAGTAGAAAAAAATATTTTACATTCATATTGATTAAAACAATGTCATATATGGGTGCTTTTCAAAATATTTTAAGCAAATCTTTTGTTTACAAATTTCCCCTCAAGACTTTTAAAACTTAAACTTAAATGTCTGACTCAGGATATCCTTTTGGCGGGGTAGCTTAAAATATTACGTGTCTTCTATCATAATTTTTCAACATTTAAAAACATTCTGCTCTTCGAACCATTTGCTTTTATAATATTTTAAAAAACCGTCAAAACTACTGAGTTTTTCTCACTACTTATTTAAAAATCCTCTACCCAATTGTTTTTCCAATGTCAACACATAATTTCTATTTTCATCCATTGATTCTCTGTACAAGGCCTTAGGATTTTCCAGTCTAGCAGATAACTGCTCTTCTTTTGAGAATAGCTTTTATAGCCTCCTGCTGGGTCTTGGAAAATTCTGGAATTCTTAAGGCTTGGTAGCTGCCATAAGAAGCTAGAACATACAATGCTGAGGAAAGAAAGCAGAGGTCAGACTGTTCTTCTTCAATAATTTAAGCTTAACTTGTCTACAGAAGACATTTAAAATTATGATATCTATGATTTAAAATAAATGTTTTGGGCCCTCCCTGGTGGCGCAGTGGGTTAAAGCACAGCGCTAAGAAGCTAAAGCCACTTCTGCATGAGTTCAATCCCTGGTCCCCCGAGGTGACCCACATGGCGTGTCAGACCTCTCCTGACCCAGAGAGGTCTCTGTCTCTGGTGAAGCCTCTCACTGCCCCTGTGCCTCTGGCCTATACCCCAGTTCTGTATACATAACTAAATAAATCTTTAAAAAAATAAAATAAAATAAGTGTTTTATTCTTGTATTTTCTGCTGTGTATGTGGCCTTATCTTTAAATATTCAAACAATGCTAATGTTCAAGGAAAGAAAAAATTACTGAATCATAATACAATTTCTACCATCAGCCAGCCCTGTGATTTTTGCATTTGTCATATCACTGCTGATTCTAGATTTTCTCAAAGGAAAATAAGAGAGGGAGGCAGAGAAGACTGGGAAAGATTAAACTTAAAGGTTTCAAACAAAACTGAAATTATAAGACTATGATTATGTAAATAAAACTGTTTCTTGTTTCCCACTTAGTTGAAATTATACTATTAGCCACAGATGACTATATGCCTTCAAAGTTTCAGTTACAGAGCTTTCAATTTACAGCTATTTTCAATTCTCTCACCAACTTCACAGTGTAGATACTATAAAAGTGAGGAAACAGGGGGGACTT